GACCATATATGTGTGTGTGTGTACACACACACATACACATATGCATAGACATATATAGTGACAACATTATATACACATACGTAAGTATATGTATGTGTGTGTGTGTGTGTGTGTGTGTGTGTATATCTATATCTATATACACACATATAGGCAACCAAAAAACAAAACCCACTGCTGTCGAGTCAGTTCCAACTCAACTGCCTCATAGGGTTTTCAAAGCTGTACATCTTCATGGAAGCAGATTGCTACATCTTTTTCCCAAGAAGCAGCTAGTGGGTTTGAACCACTGACCTTCTGGTTAACAGCCAAGCACTTTAACCACTATGGCAGCAGGTCTCCTTTCTGTCTCTCTCTCTCTGTGATTCCTTTTCTTTCTCTAGGACTTATATTTTAACTCTTAAAATTTTTTCTTTTCATGATCGTAAGGTTTAATTTTAATATGGTTCAATATATCTATTTTCCCATTTATGTCCTGTTTTAAAAATATTTGTCTATACGTAGGTCACTGAAGTGTTCTTCTATATTTCTCACTAAAATGATAATGTTACGTTTCAAGTATAAATCTACAATTCACCTGAAGTAGAAGTCCAGACACTTTTTTTGTTTTCCAGATAGGGTTTTTAAAATTGTGTTTAGATACTAGGACAATTTATTAAAACATCATCCTTTCCTCACTATACAGCAGTCATTTTTTTCACTTATCAGATGACCTTATATGAATGGTTCTGTTTCGGTACTCATTCTCCTGTTGCATTTGTTCACTTTCTCTGCTATCTCACTGATACCAGACTTTATTAATTCTGGTAGATTTATAACAGTTCTTGTTAACTGATCTCATAAGTCCATCAGCTTTGTTATTCTTTCATGATTGTTGTTGCTGTTCTTGATTCATTGCCTATTCATATACATCGACTTGAAACTCCTGCACACACACACACTCACAAATCTGTTAAGATTTTGATTAGGATTGCATTAAATCTATAGATTAATTGGGAGAGAACAGATACTTCTACAATATAAAATCTTTCAGGCTATGAATCTATAATTGCATGTCTACTTTTTAAAAGAGTCCATGTTTACTGATGCAATAAACTTTAAAAAGTAATTTATTCCCTCACATGCAGGCTTATTAGGCTGCTACATATATCCAGGAAGACTGTCCCCTGTGCATTCATGTGGACTGTAATGTTAATGGGTTCCTCTTGGCTAGTGCAGTGCACAAACTGCAAAACTGTGTGTAGTAACCTTAAGGTCAAATCTTTTACTCCGTTAAATTGTTATTCATCAGCATTCTATTATTACTAAAGAATTTGTTATTTCTTCCTACAATCACTTTTCCTGCAATAAACATAATCTTTAAACGTTTCTGAAATTATGAATATAGTCTCTAAACTTTAAACAGAATAATTTTTAATCTTCTGTTACTACCACAGCAAATTGTTTTCCTGACTTGAGTTTTTTCTCTAATCTTTCCAAGTTTTTCCTATTCTCATTTATTTGACTAATTTAATTTTCATAGAACCAATTCAAAATAAAAAAAAAATCAGTATATCACCTGTAATACCATGTTCAAAACCTATATATTCTGAACATGCCCTATGTGTATAACCATGACCAACCAAGCATATTGGTAAGACCCTGTAAACAGTACAATCTTAAACAAATATAAGGTATTGAGTAATGACCAGAATTACCTAGAATTGACTGTTAGGTATGGGAGTTTAAATATCTTACTAAATGCTCTTGTAAATGACTGAGGAGGCAAAATATTTTAGAGGTTATTTTTCTAGCATATAAAAGTAAGGGTATGAATTATATGATCTTTAAATTTCCTTTCAAATTTAAATTTATTTCACTGTGGTCATGGATTGTTCAGTCATTAACTCTATGTTTGACGATTAAGTTTCAGGAGTTTAAGGTAGCCAGAAGCCCACTCTGTGGCCATGGAATGGAAATAGGAATGGTGAAATACAAAGTTTAGAAAACAAGAGGAACCATAGGCAACCTACCCTTGCAATTAGTCCACAAAGAACCATAAGTGCAATGGGTACTCTTTTGTATCGGGCTCCTTACAAAACAGCCTGGATTAGTCAAAAAAAGGGTAAGGTCTTCCATCTCTTAGAAGTAAAGAGGAAGGATTTTGCACAGGCAACTCACAAAAGCAAAACTGAAAAAGGAGGACACTTGCTTGAAATTAAACAACAAAAAATGTGAGCACTATGGCAAATAATACATTTTAGAAAGTAAATAATTTAATTATAAAGGTAAAAAATGATTTCCCCAATTCAAAAAAAAAAAAGTGGTAATTACTTGTCTTAAAATAATTCCCACATGTCAACTAAATGACTTATTTTTTTCAAAATGAAATTTTTTTTGATCTGATTTTTGAATGTCAAGATTCTCTTGAATTTCTAAATGCCTAAAACTCAAGGAAATTGATTTTTAAATATTTCTTTTTCTATGAGGTGCCAAAATGTCATGTTTTATTTTGTATACCAATATTCTCTTTCATCTTTTCCCTACAAATCTGGTTTTTTATTATTGAAAAATTTTAAATCAGAATATTCTATCAAAATGTATTTGTGCTTAAATCATTTTGTGGTTTTTGCCTAACCCCTTATACTTATGGCCTATGCCTTCAGTGAAGTTCTTTTCAGTCATAAAAGACTTTGATCAGATTAATTAGATATTGATCAGATCAGTGTTCTCATATCAGTTTTCATATACTCGAACCATCTTGGAACATTTGACATTGTTGACCATATTGGACTCAAGGACATTCTATTGTTCACTTGCAAGTTCCTGTATCATCTTGTTTCTCAAAGTTCTGACCTAAGTTCTCTTTCTTAGCATATAATTTATCTTATAACTTCAAATATTGCCTTTATATGTACAAATACCAAATATATGTTCATATTTGGTCCTAATCTTTCTCCTGAGCATCGGCTATATTTTTGAAATGCCTACTGGTTGCCAATTCCTAAACAAAATGTCAGTAGTTAAAATTCAAAACTACAAAAATTTAACTTAGAATGGTGTCTAGTGCTGCTTTAACAGAAATACCACAAGTAGATAGCTTTAACAAAGAGAATTTTATTCTCTCATAGTCTAGGAGGCTAGAAGTCCTAATTCAGGGCAACAACTCTAGGTGAAGGCTTTGTCTCTCTTTCTGTTTGTCATCAATCTTCTTGGGTAGAAGAGTTTCTCAGCACAGGGAGCCCAGGCCAAAGGACATGCTCTTCTCCTGCCTCTTGTTTCTTGGTGGTATGAGGTCCCCATGTCTCTCTGTTCACATCTCTCTTTTATATCTCAAAAGAGATTTACTTAGGACACAACCTAATCTTATAGATAGAGTCCTGCCTCATTAACATAACTGCCACTAATCCCACCTCATCAACATCATAGAATTAGGATTTACAACACACAAGAAAATCATTGCAGATGACAAAATGGTGGACAATCACACAATACTGGGAATCATGGCCTAGCCAAGCTGACAGATATTTTGTGGGTACATAATTCAATCCATGAGAAATGGTTTCCCAAAAAAATATTTTCTTCTTGTGATTCTCTATCTATCATCTCTAATAATTATATTTCAAGTTACACTTCAAGTCTAGGTTAAACGCCCTAGCTTCCTAAAGCTTTCCTATGTCACCAACTTGGCTAAAACCTTGCCTCTTCTGTGTGTTCCCATCATATCTAATTTGTGATATTCTTACATTCCTTATCATATTTTTCTATTTAATGTGATATGTTATATTAAAATAGTTACGTTAAAATACATTTATTAAATGCATTATTTTTATTGGCATTAAAAAATTAACCATTCTAACTAAATTGTCAGCATTCTTTACAACAGATTAATGTCCACTGAATGGTTGGTCTCCTTTCTCTCATATATAATAACGAATTATTTCTTCCTTCTCTCCTGTATCTATTGAACAAAGAAGTAAAGGATAAGAAAGCTTAGTGTTCCCCATGTAGTATGTTGTTTTTTTCAAAAAGTAACACAACCACTTTGGGAGTTTTCCCTAAGAGGGGTACTGATTTCAAACACATTTACCACATTGTAGAGAAGAACAATTTTCCGTCTTTTTTTGGCAACTGTGGAAAGAATACAAGAAACAGAGGAAAAACAAATGAGTTTGAATCCTGAGGCTCAGTATCCTTAGCCAAGTCTTATTAACCTCTGTAAACTTCAGTTTCCTCATCCGTGAAGGAGTATCCTTTCCTAATCCATACACTGTGAG